CAGCAATTCTACTACTGAAATATATATTTATATAATATAAATTAAACAGATCAACACAAACATACACTAACACCCAAACCTCAGAATATTGGTAGCAGTCTATAAAGCATGTTTTAAAAGAATATTTTACTGTGTTTTAGGTGAAAGATTACACAGCAAATTAAGGACCTATTTAACAATGTTTATACAAAATTGTTCCATGCCAGCCATACATTTTTTCACAATATGTTGGTATTCTCATTATTTCCATTCTGTCTGGATGGTGCAAATAGTTAAATTGCCCACATGCTGACTGAGAAGTTGATGATTTGAGCCCTCCCAAAGTTGAGTCTACCCAAAAGTGCTTCTGAAGAGAGGCCTGGCAATCAGCTCTCAAGACATGGGCTTGAACTCTGAGGAGCATGGCTCTGTTCTGACATGTGTGGGGTTGTTACCTGGATGGGAATCTATGACAGCTGGCTCTGGCCACTTTCCTGGAAGTCTCCACATCACAGGGGGCTGTCAGGCCCTTTCTGGCCACTTGGTGGAGACTCTAGACACATCTTTGAACCAGTGACCCCTCAAGGTCCCCCTGGATCTCTCTCTCCATAGGCCATGACTTTTTAGCTTTGTACCTCGATTTAGAGCCCTTAGACATTCTTCTCTATCTTGCTTTGCAGATGTCTTTTGAAATCTTTACCCGAGAAATAGAACTCCTAATGATATGCTAATGTGATTTGATGTGCTTGCCTAGCAATATCAGAAATGCAGTAACAAGGACCCAGATGAGAAATCCATTTACATTATTGATAGAGAGCACTGTAACTGGAGAAAAGAACTCTGTGAAATCAATGGTACTGTTGAAAAGAATAGCATAGGCTCATTTTAACACATTCAATTTCACAGACATATTTAAAGTAAAAAGTGACATCACCCCTCACCTCCTTCAAGCCTATCAGTTCTCACAACTAATTTTGATCTTTTCCATCCTGCTTAAGCACACCACATAAAAGGCTGTTCATCTGTGGGATTGTGTTGGTGTGTTTTAAGTAGGATCATAGTATGTTTCCTATTCTGCAACTTGTTTTAGCCGCTTTATGATTGAACCTGTAGATCTGATGTGCTGAGATTAAGATCTTAGTTTTTCCACGTCCTTCCTGCCTCTCTGACCCTCAGTTTCTTCATAAGTTTAATGGGTATAACAGTGAGGTAAGCCTTATGGGGTTGATGTGAGAAATGTAATGGTGTACCACCTATCATATGCTTAGGGCAGGGCCTGCTGTCTTATGCACTCAGTGAAAATGATCCCAGAATAATAATGTGCAATAGCAATGGTGGCATTGGAAGTACTCTTTCCCACTGTTTTCAGTGACCATCTAGCATTTGATTATGCAGGTACATAAATCGTTTTAACCATCCCTCCATTTATGACTCTTTGTTTTTACTTATCACAAGACCTCCCTACTGTTGCACTCATCCACGCCCAACTCTGGAAGAGAGTCTGGTGAAGGAGTCGCAGCTGCAGCCTGCGCTGGGGTTTAGGATGCTGGTGGGAAGAGAGACAGTTCTAAGATACAGATAGAGTTTGACATGGCTCCTTCATCCCCAGCAAATCGCCATTGCTCGGGAAGGTGATCTGCTGACCAAGGAGCGGCTGTGCTGCGGCCTGTCCATGTTCGAGGTCATCTTGACACGCATCCGAAGCTACCTTCAGGACCCCATCTGGCGAGGTCCCCCACCCACCAACGGCGTCATGCATGTGGACGAGTGCGTGGAATTCCACCGGCTCTGGAGTGCCATGCAGTTCGTTTACTGCATCCCCGTGGGCACCAACGAATTCACAGCAGAGTGAGTACCCCAGGGAGGGGTCAGCGCCACCTGCTTGTCCCGGAGTCATCAGGCTGCCGGACCTCAGCCCCCATATGCTCATTTAAAAATGTCCCACCACCCCACCGTTGTTCTTCAGGCTGTTTTCCAAAGCCAAGACAGCTTCTCCTCTACCTGCCTGAAATAATCAGCCACATTCATTTTCAGGGGTGGTTTTGTGGAGTTGGTATTTTTCCATGTTTTGCAAATATTTCTCTTTTCCACAGCTGCTTTTCCCAGCATCACTGATACAGCTTCTGATATACCTTCTTTGGTTAAAAGCCAGTTCCCATTGTGGACTCTGATGCATTCTACCTGGCACGTGTGTGCCAGAGAACTGTGCTCCCTAGACTTTTTATTGGCTCATTTTTCTAAATTTGATCCCCATGCACTTCTGAGGTACCTCTAAGTATGGCTTGAACCTCCAACCTTTTTGGTTAGCAACAGAGCAAGCAATCTCTACTGTTTATCCTGCCCACGGATACTGTGGTTACAAGGGCTTATGATATAACAGCAGCGACTGGGACAGATGAATTTCTGTTCACTATTACTCGTTGTTGAGTCAGAAGTGACCCATTGCTGACCCTCCCATTAGGGTCCCAAGGCTGTTAACCACACAGGAGAAGCTTGTCCATCTTTCTGCCTCGGTGCCATTAGTGGATTCAAAAAGCTGTTGGGTTAGCATGCACACATTTTTTTTTCAAGTTTATTTCTCTTATACTCATTCTACAGATTAACAGAGTTGGCCCATTCACTGACCTACAATGGAGGCCGCCCCCTCCCTCTCTGCCAGCACTCACCCTGCTTTCTCCCATCCCTTCCCACCCCCCAGGCAGTGTTTCGGAGATGGCCTGAACTGGGCTGGCTGCTCCATCATTGTCCTGCTGGGCCAGCAACGTCGCTTTGACCTGTTCGACTTCTGTTACCACCTGTTAAAAGTACAGCGGCAGGACGGGAAGGATGAAATCATTAAGAATGTGGTAAGGCGGTTTGTGGCTGAGGCTGGTGAGGCAGCGCTGGCAGCTGGGCTTTCGTCAGAAAAGGGTAGGAGGGGGTGCTGCTGAGGGAGTCCACCACCCCACACCGCAGGTAGCTCAGATACTAAGCAGCCTAGAGTCGGATGGGGAAGCCGTGAGTCACTTCCTCATAACCCACTGAAATGAAACAGGCCACCCCACAGGCTGGGCAGGGCTCCAGATCTGAAACTTACCTTCCCTGTCCCAGTCAGACTCATTCACACAAGCATGATGCTAGGAGTGGGCACAGGGTGAGTGCAGCTCTGTGGGTCAGCCCAGCTGCAGGGGGAACACAGAGAAAGGCCTACTGGCCAACTAACTCAGGCCGTCGCCAGGGCTGTGAGATGGTAAAGAAAAGGCATCCCATTTGAAACCATGCTTGACCCAAGTCCACTAGGGGTAATAGGTAGAAAATGAGATCATGGGTGTGGGGCAGATGTTCCAGAAAAACGGAACAGCAAACACAAAGGCATAGGGCATGAAGATGGGATAAAATGTGAGTCTAGGGCGACCTGAGGGTTAGGAGAAAGATGGGAGCCACCATACAAAAACCCCTCATGGTCCAAGTAAACCCTTCATCACCAGAGCCCTGGTTGCCCTCTAAAGACATTTAAACAGGAGTAACAGGATCTTTGAACTCTCAGTGTCCTGGGCCCAGACCTCACTGAATCCTCTTATTCTCCCTCCCCTCCCCGCTTCGTCTTCTGCTGCTCACCTGCACACCCCTGCCTGCCTGCAGCCCTTGAAGAAGATGGCAGACCGCATCAGGAAGTACCAAATCTTGAACAATGAGGTTTTTGCCATCCTGAACAAGTACATGAAGTCTGTGGAGACAGACAGCTCCACCGTGGAGCATGTGCGCTGCTTCCAGCCGCCCATCCACCAGTCCCTGGCCACCACCTGCTAGGAGAAAGGCCCTGCAGGCCCTCGACCTGGAGGAGGAGGAAAAGCAGGAGAAAGAAGACCTCAGCCAGCTCACAGGAGTCATGTCCGACTGGACAGCCTGTGAGGTGGACCGGAACCAAACAAGAACCTCCCCATGCCCATCCCCACCACTCCCCAGGGTGGGCCCATGCATGCTTTCCCATGACATCTCCATGGTGGGTTTCCATAATGCAAATGAGAAGAAGAAGGGAAAAAAAAGTGGGCAGTGTGTGCTTTTCCCCCTGCTCTTTGTTGCCCTCTGCTATATTAAGAGTTTCTCACTTCATCTTTTCTCCATCCAGTGGCCCCACCCTATGTCTTTGGTTGCTTCCCAGGACTTCGTCTAAGATAGCAATCTCCATGTGCCCATAGCCTGAAATCGGAGTGACCAGTGAAAGGATATGGCCATGCTCAGGGATGTGAGTGGGCCAGTGGCCTCTTCATCTCTGCTGGCTCTTGTCCCCCCAGTTCCCTGGGTAATATCTCCTGATGCTCTGGGATTCTACTACCAAACATGCTCCTAGTTCAGACGATGCATAGGTAACCCACAGAAGAGATTCTTGATACTGGCACAAAGATCAGTCCTACCAGCTCTGCCCTTTCATAGACTTCCAGGAACTACATCCTAACTCCCTCTCAGTAAAGTCCTAGAGAGAGATTTGTTTACAAGTTGTGAGGAAGCAGTGTTTATAAACACAAGCAGAAATTCCAGAGCCCAAAGATAAAAGCTTTTAGGCCATCTCTTTAGCTTGCTGGTGAGGCTGTTCCTTTATTTGGTAAACAAATACCTAGGAATATCAGACCACGCCAGGTGATGGACTTTGGGGATCCAATGTTGGAACAAGCCAGACATAGCATTGGCATGTCTATGTCAGGGCCTCCTATTTGTCAGAGTCTTTCATCAAGAGAAAGAAAATATTAAGGGATTTCAATAAGAACCAGAAATATCTTAAGGGCAGAAAGGGTAAGAGTTATAAATACTAGTCAATGAGATTTTAATACCTGGAAATAACACAAGAGGAGGACCTGACCTGTTGTCCTAGAAGGTGAAAGAGTCAACTTCTTGTTATTGTCTTTCTCCTCAGACTAGGGTATACATCCATCTGTTCCTCAAATTAACCCAAAATTCCTCTGCAAAATCTCCAAAAGACCTGGGGAAACTGAGTAGAAGGAAAGACATCATTGAGAAGTAAATGTCTCTGTAATGGTGTCAAATATCTTTAAGGATGAGCTTTTAAGCATATATATAGTGTGGTGGTTGATAACTCCTCACAGTTCAGAGAAGAAAAAAAGTTGGAGGGAAAGCCATGCTAATACCCTTGCCTGGGCAGATTAGAAGTACCCTTTGTAATTGCATGAAGGAGCAAAGAAAAGGCTCAAAAGAGGTTTCTGTCCCCTCCTTCATGCCCACCAGTGACAGAGAGAGAGGTCTCACCATATAGGGTCCAGCAGCCACATACATCAGAGCTACTAGGATTATCTTATTTAAATCCCAACTCTTACCTACTAATTCTCAACCTGGGGAACATAGAAGTTTGAGAACCACTGCTGTAGTGCAATCTTTCTACTAATCCTGAGCTCTAGGCTACCTCTGAGCTGCCAGATAAAATGTTGATAATTGAGGAAAAGGGTTCCAAGTGGAAAATATCAGATCCTCCTTGAACCTTGCTTTGTGTAGATTTGTTAGGTTCCTTTGATAGGATTGATATTAAAGCAATCCTTTCTCCTCCCCACCCTGGATTCATGACCTTTGACTCTGGGGACAGAACCACCACCTCCATCCTCAAGAGACTTGATCCTGGTAAATTGAGGTCTTCAGTTTCAGGAGAAAGTTTATATTTCCCTGGCTTGCCCGAAGCACTTATTTGTGAACACAGGTTCATAATAGTCTTTCCTCTGCAGTGTTACTGCCCCTTTTTAATTCGTGTGTGTATTCAAGAACCAGAAGTGGGGGGGAAAAGAAAGCTTAAGTTTTAAAAAGTTTAAAAAACTCTGTTTCTGAAATTGTCAAATGTACCATATTTGTATTAAGAGTTGTTAGGGACTTTTGTACAATGACTTTACATTTATTTATGGTGACTTATATTTACGCTTGTGATCAAATAATGATGTTAAATTCTTAAGTCATATTTGCTATGCAGTTAAAGATGCTATTTTAATTTGTATTTTGGGGAATACCTGTGTTGAGTTGATAAACATTTCCATATCCATTAAAATCGCTTCCAAACTTGTGGCACTGGCATCTTGTTGTTCCTACCATCCTCATTGCAGTCCTTATTAATTGTAGAAGGCTGCATTAAAACTAATGACTCCAGAAGTAACCGTAAAGTGAGTGGAAGATCAGTACACACTGAACTAACAGCTTGTTTTGCTTTCTCGCTGGGGAAATTACATCTGTACAAATTGATCTGTGCTAGACCAGATGAAGGAGGGGATAGAATCCTGCCTTGAGCAGTTAACTGTTCTGAGGTAACTATATACCTCAAATCTGTAATTTTAACAGTATAATAGGAGCAAATACTTAATAAGGTCTAATATGTACCAGTCTATGTCAGTTTATGCAAGGAGGACAGCTTCCTGGAAGAAACCCATATTTGTTCCAATTCCCAAGAAAGGTCATCCAACAGAATGTGGGAATTATCGAACAATATAATATACAAGCAAAATACTGCTTAAAATCATTCAAAAACGGCTAGGCAATTTGGAACAAGAGGGTTATTGCAAAGTGGACTGGGGGAAGGAGTAGTAAAAGGAGGGAAAGAATATGTGCAACAATGAGTTAACAAAAAATTAAAAAAATAGAATATAGAGCACTGCCAGGTGTTCAAGCTGGATTTAGAAGAGGCAGTCTGAAATTGAGTGAATGTGCAATCAAGATGCATTAATGATAAGTGTTGACTAGAATGCAAAAGTTAGAAACAGTGAAGAAGGAAGAGTAGTTGTAAAATAGGGGCTTGGTGATATAGAAATGAGCTGGGGAAAGAAGGATAGAATTTTGTATTTTGCAGTGATTCATTGTAAATACCTTTTTGAAAAGACAAATGATGACTTTAGACATGGACCTCACCTGATGGACTGCATAGGAATCAGATTAACTATATCTGCAAGAGAAATAGTTGGAGAAGCTCAATATCAGCAGTTAAAACTAGACCAGGGTGGACTGTGAGTCAGACCATTAATTACTCATATGCAAGTTCAAATTGAGGCTGAAGAAAATTAAAGTAAGTACACAAGAACCAAGATAGGATCTTAAATATATTCCATCTGAATTGCAAGATCACCTTAGAAATAGATTTGAGAAATTGAACACCAGTAATAGAAGACCGGATGAGTTGTGGGATGATAACAAGGATATCATCCATGAAGAATGCAAAACATCATTAAAAATAACAAAGAAAAAGCCAAAGTGGATGTCAGAAGATACTTTTTATTAAATGTTTTTATTAATGATTTTTAATGCAATATACATATATTTACAGCATATTCTTTCCATTTAATTTTTCCCCATTCATTCATTGTTGTAAATTTTCTTCCCTGCTCACCCCCTCACCCAGTTTGTTTTTATCTTTGAAGAAAAAAAAATTCATTGTTATACAACCCTCACTCCGAGTCTATAGTCCACTTTAATATCCATTTCTTTTTCTGTAATCTTAGGAAAATAATACCTAATCGTATATTCCTTTTAAACAGTTCTCTTCCTCATCTGTTTCAATGCAGATACATTATTTATCCCCTCTTAGGTTCCCCCCAACCCTGATGTCAGTCCTTTTTTACAACAGTGGCATTATGCAGTATTTGTCCTTTTGTTACATAGTTCACTCAGCATTGCACTGGAGCGTCAACAATCCAAAACAAAGGGAAAACATGCTGAAATAGAAGAGCTGAACAGAAGTTTTCAAAGGGCAGCTCAAGAAGACAAAAGTATTATAATGGAATGCGCAGAGAGCTGGAATTGTAAAATAAAAAAGAACCCGCTCTGCATTTCTAAAGCTGAGAGAACTGAAAAACAAATTTAAATCTTGTGTCACAATATTGAAAGATGCTATAGGCAATATATTGAATGACCCAACAAGCATAAAAAAAAGAAAAGAAAATGGGAATACACAGAATCGCTGTGCGAAAAAGAACTGATTGACAATGAAAAAATTTCAGAAACTACCATATGGAATGCCAAGAGAACAAACATGCCTTGGAGAAGGTGTAGCCAGAGTGCTCCTTGGAGGCAATGACTATAAAGCTTCATCTCATGTACTTTTGGAATGTTGTTAGGAGAGACTATTCCTTGCAAAAGGACATCATGGTGGGGAAGATAGAGGAATGACAAAAGAGAGGAAGACCCTCGACTAGATGGATTGACACAGTGACTGTAGCATTGGCTTCAAGTGTATCAGAGATTGTGTGTATGGCAGAGGACAAGACAGGGTTCCAATTTGTTCATTTAGTTGCTATGAGATGTACTCAATTAGATGACACCTACCAACAACAACAAGGAGTGCCATTGTAAGCCTGGTGACATTGAAATTGGCTGCTAGTCAAGAAGTTGGTGGTTTAAGCCCACACGTTTACCTCTGCAGGTGAAAAAGTTGACCACATGCTTTTGTAAATGAGATTATGGTGCTCACCTTCAAAAGTATCCTGTACGGTAATTCTACTTTTGTCACATGGAATTGACATGAATTGGAATTACTGGCACCCAATAAAACCATTGCCTAGAGGGTCTGGTTTTAATTGTTTTTGGTCAAACATTCTTCTAAATGGTATAGCACTGGTCTGTCCATTTGCTGTACAGAGGTAACTCGTGGTTGCTGTGAAGCTGAACACTGTGACACTGATGTGTCAAATGCAATAATGGTTACCCATGGTGGATAGTGTTTGGTGGAGCTCCCTGATTAAAACAAGCCTGGAAGTCGGAGTGGCATCCACTTCTGAAATAGCTTGCCTCCAGGAAACTCTGTGAACGTGGACAAAGGATAAAAGTTACACAGGTGTTCAGGTCTTTTTTTATAGAGTTACAATGAGTTGTCGATGACTCCACAGCACTTAACAACAACAACAACGACAGAGGGCAGTGACAGGTCAGTGGAAGAAAGATTGACCTCCATGTGCAAGACCCAGGTCTGATTTCTGACCAGTTCACCTGGAGCAGTGATCAGTAAATGAAGGCGTGTGTGTTGTGATGCTGACGAGATTTCAGTGGAA